TTGACGAGCACAACCGATAATTACTGGTGTGTTTTAGTCTAGGATGCGAAACGAAAAAGTTTTGGAGCATCGAAATATCGAAAAAATTTTTTTGAAAATTGCGAGGCTTATATCTTTTGTTTGGTCAACTTTAGGGCAAAGGTTCATTGTATTAATTTTTATAACTCTTAGGGGGGCCATAGGAAAACTCATCAGAACTCCTGAAATCCAAAAACAAATTTCGACCAAAATTTGTATCTTATTCTTACTAAGTCCAAGGGGTGGAAAATTTATCTCGGAAAAAAATTATTCTGGTTGGTGTTCTAATAGCTCCTTGACGAGCACAACCGATAATTACTGGTGTGTTTTAGTCTAGGATGCGAAACGAAAAAGTTTTGGAGCATCGAAATATCGAAAAATTTTTTTTGAAAATTGCGAGGCTTATATCTTTTGTTTGGTCAACTTTAGGGCAAAGGTTCATTGTATTAATTTTTATAACTCTTAGGGGGGCCATAGGAAAACTCATCAGAACTCCTGAAATCCAAAAACAAATTTCGACCAAAATTTGTATCTTATTCTTACTAAGTCCAAGGGGTGGAAAATTTATCTCGGAAAAAAATTATTCTGGTTGGTGTTCTAATAGCTCCTTGACGAGCACAACCGATAATTACTGGTGTGTTTTAGTCTAGGATGCGAAACGAAAAAGTTTTGGAGCATCGAAATATCGAAAATTTTTTTTTGAAAATTGCGAGGCTCATATCTTTTGTTTGGTCAACTTTAGGGCAAAGGTTCATTGTATTAATTTTTATAACTCTTAGGGGGGCCATAGGAAAACTCATCAGAACTCCTGAAATCCAAAAACAAATTTCGACCAAAATTTGTATCTTATTCTTACTAAGTCCAAGGGGTGGAAAATTTATCTCGGAAAAAAATTATTCTGGTTGGTGTTCTAATAGCTCCTTGACGAGTATAATATAACCAACAAAAATAAGTCAAGGAGCTATTAGAACACCAACCAGAATAATTTTTTTCCGAGATAAATTTTCACCCCTTGGACTTAGTAAGATTAAGATACAAATTTTGGTCGAAATTTGTTTTTGGATTTCAGGAGTTCTGATGAGTTTTCCTATGGCCCCCCTAAGAGTTATAAAAATTAATACAATGAACCTTTGCCCTAAAGTTGACCAAACAAAAGATATAAGCCTCGCAATTTTCAAAAAAAATTTTTCGATATTTCGATGCTCCAAAGCTTTTTCGTTTCCCATCCTAGACTAAAACACACCAGTAATTATCGGTTGTACTCGTCAAGGAGCTATTAGAACACCAACCAGAATAATTTTTTTCCGAGATAAATTTTCACACTTTTGACTTAGTAAGAGTAAAATAAAAATTTTTTGGATTTCAGGAGTTCTGATGAGTTTTCCTATGGCCTCCCTAAGAGTTGTAATCGTTATCACAATGAACTCTGTAACTATTTGGGGGGCTATTAAAACCCATAAAATAATTTAGAATTTTTCATTTTGGGGGGGAGGTACTTTTTAGGGGGGGCCTATATTTAAATTTTTTTTTAGAGTTCTGATAGCCCCCCATGGAATTGTTATAATTATCCCTTTGAAGTTTAGCTCTAAAATTAATATTAAAGGTGTTATAAGACTCGTAATTTGCACAAAACGGGATTTCCGTTTTTTCGTAACTTTGCGTGGTATTTTTAGTTGTTTAAACAATATAATTTTTTTTTAAATACCAGAGAACTCTGTAACTATTTGGGGGGCTATTAAAACCCATAAAATAATTTAGAATTTTTCATTTTGGGGGGGGCGCTTTTTAGGGGGGGCCTATATTTAAATTTTTTTTTAGAGTTCTGATAGCCCCCCAAGGAATTGTTATAATTATCCCTTTGAAGTTTAGCTCTAAAATTAATATTAAAGGTGTTATAACACTCGTAAGTTGCACAAAACGGGATTTCCGTTTTTTCGTAACTTTGCGTGGTATTTTTGGTTGTTTAAACAGTATAAAGTTTTTTTTAAATACCAGAGAACTCTGTAACTGTTTGGGGGGCTATTAAAACCCATAAAATAATTTAGAATTTTTCATTTTGGGGGGGGGGCGCTTTTTAGAGGGGGCCTATATTTAAATTTTTTTTTTAGAGTTCTGATAGCCCCCCAAGGAATTGTTATAATTATCCCTTAGAAGTTTAGCTCTAAAATTAATATTAAAGGTGTTATAAGACTCGTAAGTTGCACAAAACGGGATTTCCGTTTTTTGCAACTTTGGATGGTATTTTCGGTGGTTTAAACAATAGAACTATTTCTAAAAAGTATAGGGAACTCTAGAACTCTTGGGGGGGCTATAGGAACTCTCAAAATTTTTAAAAAAAGTTGAGGATGGTTGGCCAACTTCACAGAGGTCTTGTTCAGGAGGTGCCGATTGCATCCGGATTTATCCGAAACACTGTTTTAGACGTTCTATAAAAAATCTAGTGCGCGCAACACACAACTTTCACTTACGCTTTGAACTTTGAATAAAAATTATTTTCTGGCCATGTTAGGCTATTATAAAATGTTTTAAATTGCATTTTAAACTGAGCTAAAGCTAAAAAAACACAAATGCTATTAAAATAACAAAGACCTATTTATTATATCACCGGTTAATTATGGATTGTACGATTCGTTGATTATGGATTGTTCGATCCATTGATTATGGATTGTACGACTATAAGTCATTAAACTGTTATTTTCCATTGCAAAATTTATTAAAACGGAATTAAGAGATTTGCAGTGTATGTCATAGACAGGTCAAAAGTTGTCACACTAATTGTAAGTGGATTCTGTTGGAATATCGCAAAAAGAAGAATTATCAAACTATTCACTAATTTAATTTTCTAAAAGGTTACATGATGATTTTTCGGAATAAACGGACGATAGATATCTAAATATTTAAATATATTATGAGATCTAGAGTTATTAAACTACAGTAAATATATTTAGGGTTATAAACGTATCTATGAAATATTTTTGTATTTCACTTCTTTTTTCACACAAGTACAATGAAATGGTAGAGGAATATCACAAAGAGAAGATCTATCGAATTATTCACTAATTTAGTTTTCTAAAAAGTTATATGACAATATTTTGGAATTAACTTTATACCCAATTATTTATAGAGAAATACTTTATTAAAAGTAATGCTGCATACTTATCAATCCATACGGACATTAATTTTATATTATATTTTTCTTTTTTTTTTCTCCCCCTTCATAACAATACTCTTACAAATTATCAACAATAAGCCATATTAAACAATAGACATAGCATAATAAACACTTTCCCAAAATAAAAATAAAATTATTTTTTCTCTTTAAATTCTCAAACGCCAGGAACGCAATATAACATCGCACACATATATAAAACAGCAATTCCTTGAATGTAGCCAAAAAGATAAGACGATTATGGACCAATTTAAAATTTAATAAATAATTACTAAACTACAGTAAATATATTTAATATTATAAACACATGATTTATACATCCATGAAATGATTTTATATTTTATTTCTTCGTTCACATAAGTACACTGAAATAGTTTTTTTAACAATGCCATCAACTTGCTTAGGTGGATTTTAAATACATTTTAAAAAAATTAGCATTACCTTATTAACACATTCAAAATTCAAAAACCGAAACAAAGGATATAACCATTGCAGCAGAACGTATTAAAAAAAAACTAGAGACCATATCTTATCTCCTAATTATCCGATTTTAACGATTTTTTTTTTTTTTTTTAGGCTATTCCATAAACTTTTAGAAAACCATTTTTGTTTTTTAGGCAATTTAAATACCTTTGAAACATCTTATCACAACATTCCCAAAAAAGTGTATACTTTTTGAGTTATTCGGAATTTAATTTTACCATCCCTCGTAACTTTTTTTCAGCCTCTTTTCGCTGATGAATGTTATATAGATAAATTTGAAGGGTGTCGAGAAAATGTCTTTAGCGAAGTTTCAATGAAATCGGTACATTCGTTTAGGCGCTACAGTCTATAGCTACGTTTTTCTGCATTTTTATTTTTTTTTCTCCCTTATTAACTTATCAAATTCTTTCAAAAGTTATATTTAGCATTTTTTCGTAACTCTGAATAATGCGAAATAATTATCTTTTTAAAATAAACCATATTAAAGGTACTTTAGAGGAAGACGTATATGAACATTGGGCATTTAAGCCCTGTAAAGTGACATCAATGGGGATAAGACCTAATTTATATTAAAGACCACTTAATTATACAATGATACACCGAGTTTAATCAAAATCGTTAGAGCCGTTTTTGAGAAAACTGTGAAAATGTGTTTCAGCGTTGATATAAAGTGGCACTTCCGGTTAGCCGATTTTAAGAAAAAAGTTGCCGTCACAACTAAGGCATATACCTATCTTAAATACGTGAAATCAGTTTCATAGGACTTTTCATTTTTGAGCTAGACTGCTAACATACAAACACACAGACACCCAGACCATTTGTCTGGACTTGGTCATATCGACTCAGGGTACCTCAAAACGTATAAATCCATCGAAAACTCAGATTCAAAAATTTTCTCGATCGCAATACTTACACTTACTATATATTACATATATACGTAAGTGAAAGTAAAAAGTGTGATCGACGTGATTGTGAAACACGCTTAACCCATGAGGTCCTCATCTAAATAATTACCACAGTAAAAATTAATATTCATGAGTTGAAAAAAGACGTTAGCAAATATCTGGCTAAAATCTTTACCCACATACCATAATACTATAACCCAATGTAATAATAATAACCCACATACCATGGCGTGGAAAAACCCAGAAATATTTCATTTACTGGACAGCGTAAAGGCAAAATCATATATTAAAATTTTTCCAATCACTACGATACCAATAAAATACAAAATTGTGTGGGGTTTCTAAAATGATTACAGACTACTAAGAGGTATATCATTTATTTGCTATTATTTATCATAATTACATTTAATATTTTAGTTTATTACCATTTTTAAACTCTTGGCTAAATGTGAATATTTCTGTGGTTTTTCTAAGATGATCTCAACCTGTAAAACATTCAAATTAATAACTGTGCCAATATTTTAAAATTTAATTAGAAATTTCCGCGACCAGGATCATTGAGAGGCTGCTCCGAGAAAAGTTAGAGGACATACCTAGGATCTTTTTTTTTTTTTTTAACTTATTTACTGAAAAATATTACATTCTGTCTCAAGGACATTTATAATAGTGTTCTGAAATCACATTCACACTCTATGTACTATAAATAAAATAAATTATACGGAAAAATAATATATGTACAATAAATAAGAATAAAATAACCTAAAAATAAGTAAATAAAAAGAACTCATCCATACCTATATACAATATTCACAATCTGGCGAGAGATCTCCAAACCAGACTTGTCCCTCCAACTGTGGAGGGAAAAGCATGACTCCAGGAGATCCCTGCACTTCTTTCTCAACCGCGTCACTGGGGCTAAACCCAGTGGAGATTGAGAAAGAGTACTTTAGCCACATACACTCATATCGTGAGTGGAGAATCTGGCCATTGCCAGAACTCCAATATTTACAAACTATAAAAGGTCTCGGGGCCACTGCCGTTTTAACCTCCTTGGAGGATTATAGCTATGGGTGGTGCTGGATAGAGATTGTGCAATGGGATTTGGATGATGGAAGCTGGATGGAATTAAAGTGTACTGGTGGACAGGAACTGCGTCGGAGCGTGAAAGTGATGTGTTGGCATTTGGATTTGTTTACTTTAATACGCTATTTATTAAACTAGTGCTCAATCAGGGAGAGGTGTCTTTGAAAGTTTTAGGATGCTATATCAGGATCTGAGTCGGATGATAAAATTGCGGTGTCATCAGCAAAAGTTGCCAGGAAGGTATCGGGATGGACAGGGATATCGGCAGTAAAGAGGATGTTTAGTCTCCCAGTCTAGGCTGGTATATAAAGAGGATGTAAAGGACTGGACTCAATACGCAACCTTGAGGAACACCAGCCTCAATTGAATAGCAATTTGAAAAATCAGAGCCGCAGCGAACTCGGAAGGTACGATCTGAAAGGTAGGAACGGAGGACAAGGTATTGTCCTGAGGAACTCCAGGACAAGGTACTGAGGAAGATGAGTTTTAAGTTTTAAAAGAAGCCCGGCGTGCTATATCCGGTCAAAAGCTTGAGCTAGGTACAGAAATGCACCCGAGTAATATTGTTTGCTTTCCAGGGCTGCGGAAATATGATCGACCACTTGAAGTCCTTGTTGGACTGTGGATTATTGGGAACAGAATCCGAACTGGTGTGAAGGAAGATTTTGAGATTCTATAAAGGTTTTTTTTTTTTTTTTTTTTAATTTCTTTATTGAGTATTATAACAATCTGTCTCTTGGATATTGGCTATAGTGACGTATGATGACATTCACACTATATGTACAAAAAAATAAAATAAATAGAACAAAATAATAATCAAAAGTATATACAATATATAATAAAATAAGATAAACTAAAAAATACGAAAATTAAAACTAAGAAAAAAAACAAAAACACATGCATACCTATATAAAATCAGGCGAGGGAACTCCAGGAGAACCCTGCGCTACTCTCCCAACCGCGTCACTGGTACTAAAGCCAGCGGAGCTTGATCGAGAGCACTTTAGCCACATACACTCATGTCTTGAATGAAGAATCTGGCCATTGCCAGAACTCCAATTTGTACAATCTACAAAAGGTAGCGAGGCCACTGCCGTTTCAACCTTCTTGGAGGATTATAAGGATGGGAGGTGCTTGGTAGGGATTGTGCAAGAGGATTTGGGTGGTACGTAAGGTTCTGGTGAAATTTGGGGAATTTTTCTGGGGTAAGGTCTAGGACAAATGGGATGTTGAGGTCATGATATAGGGTTTTGTTGGTTACATAGAAAGGAGCATCGAATATTGTTCGAAGGACTTTTGACTGGAAGGATTGGATGCGCTTTATGTTAGAAAATTTTGCTGATCCCCATAGTTCTAGTCCGTAAGTCCAAATAGGTTTCAGTATTGTCTTGTAGATCAGTAGCTTGTTTTCAATGGAAAGTTTAGATTTTCTGTTTAGTAGTCGGTATAGTTGGCCTTATCGTCGGTTGAGTTCTTGTCTTTTGAGTCTAGTATGGGGGTTCCACGTTAGTCTTCGGTCTAAATGAAAGCCAAGATACCGGACTGTGTCTGAGTAAGGAAGCTGGATGGAATTAAATAGTACAGGTGGACAGTAATTGCGTCGGAGTGTAAAGATAATATGTTGGCATTTAGATTCATTAACTTTAATGCGCCAGTTATTACACCAGTGCTCAATCAAAGTGAGGTGGCTTTGGAGATTTAAGGATGCTATTTCGGGATCAGAGTTGGATGATAAGATTGCTGTGTCGTCAGCGAATGTTGCAAGGAAAGTATCGGGATGAACAGGGATGTCAGCAGTAAAGATGATGTAAAGCACGGGACCCAAGACGCTGTCTTGGGGAACACCGGCTTTAACGGAGTAGATATTGGAAAATTCTGTTCCATGGCGAACTCGAAAGGAGCGGTCAAAGCGGTCAAGAGAGGTAGGATCGGAGGACTAGGTACAAGGACTGAAGTAAATGGATTTTAAGCTTGAAGAGCAGTCCGGAGTGCCATACCCGATCGAATGCCTGTGCAATGTCCAGAAATGCACCCGAACAGTATTCCTTGTTTTCTAGAGCTGAGGAAATATGATCAACAACTCGGAGTCCTTGTTGAACAGTAGAATGTTAAGAGCGAAAACCAAACTGATGAGAAGGAATATTTTGGGATTCTATAGTAGGTAGGATTCGTTTCAAAAGGATTCCTTCAAAATAGGTAGGTTCTTTTCAAAAATTTTTGAAAGGGTTGGGAGTAGGCTAATTGGTCTACATGATTGGGAGGTTTGCCTAGTTTTGGGAAAAAGACAATAGTGGAGTGTTTCCATAACAGAGGGAAGTTTTTGGTGCGTAGGATACAATTGTAGATATACGTAAGGAATATGACTGCTTTGGATGGAAGTTGTCGAAGGATTTGAGGGGGTAAGGAGATCATGTCCAGGAGCTTTACGGGGGATTAGTTTTTTTAATTGAAATTTCACTTCGGAAGGATGAATAGCTTTTGGGGACAAGGAAAGTGGGATTGGTGATGTAAGGAGTTATTCTACTGCTACGGTGAGGGCAGGATGGGATTCCGGATGTGAAATAAATGTATTGGATAGGTGAATGGCGAATTCCTCAGCTTTATCTTCGTCAGATGCTGCCCAGGAGCCATCATTGTTTCGGAGGGGATGGGAAATGTGGTGAGGATTTAGGATTTTCGTTGTGGTTTTCCAAAGGGAATTGTCGCGAGAAGAGAGGGAGGATAGGTAGGAGTTGAAGGATTGTGATCTGAAGGTGGCTAATTACAGTTTTAATTTTTTGCAGTAATAATTATAGGAACAGCGGTCGGTAGGATGTCGGGTACATTGCCACAATAATCTGGCAGGGCGTTTGGTGTGGATTAGGTCAAGGAGGTTTTGGGGTAGAATGGTCTTCATAGGAATTCTGGAGGAGTCTTTTGGAAAGGAGGCAGTCCAGGGTAGAATTCTTTTAAGGAGGATCTTTTCAAGGATTTTTCAAAGGATTGGAAGTAGGCTAATGGATCTGTAGGAAGTTAAGCTGTTAGGAGGTTTGCCTGATTTTGGGAATAGGATAATCGTAGAATGTTTCCATAAAAGAGGAAAATGGGTGGTTCGTAGGATGCTATTATATATGTATGTAAGGAATATGGCAGCTTTAGGAGGGAGTTGTCTAAGGATCTGAAAGGTAAGAAGGTCATATCCAGGTGATTTGCGGGTAGGTAGTTTTTGTAAGTGGTATTTAACCTCAGAAGGATTAACTTCTTTAGGCGGTAAGGAGAGTGGTATGGGTGAATTAAGGAATTCCTATCTGCCCAAGAGCCATCACCTCGACGGAGAGTATGTGATATGTGATGGGGTTTTAGGATTTGTTTAGTGATCTTCCATAGGGGATTGTCCTGAGAAGAGAAAGAAGTAAGGCAGGAGTTGAATGATTGGGATCTGAAGTTAGCCAATTCTAGCTTTAATTTTTTGCAAAAATAATTACAGGATTGACGATCGGTGGGGTGTCTACTAGACACTGTCTAGTATGTTGCCATAATAATCTGGCACGGCGTTTGGTATGGATCAGGTCTATGGGGTGTTGAGGTAACTTATTTTTCTTGGGAGTTCTTGAGGAGTGGTTTGGAAAGGAAACAGTCGAGATTGCTTGTTGGATAGTGGTGGTAAAAAAGTGTACGGCATTGTCAAGGTCATCTGGGATTTTCAGGGTTATTCTGAGGTCAATTTTATAGGAAAGGATTTGGTGAAAGACTTTCCAGTTAACTGGACCTCTGATGAAGGTCGGTGGAGAAGAGTTAGGAATGGGGCTAGAGATAATTGGAGTAATAATAGACTATGATCTGAGGATAGTTCGGCAAGACGGGTTACTGAATGATTGAGGGGACCTAAGCCACTGTGGATGAAAAAATCAAAGATATCGGGAATGCGGTTAGGATCTGTGGGCCAGTAGGTAGGTGAGTCAGGAGGAAGGATAGTGAAACATTGGGAATTGAGTGCAGATAACAATGCTCTGCCACGAGTTTAAATCTCCACTCAGGATGAAGTGATATCCTAAGGAGTTGAGAAGAAAACTGAACTGGATATTTAATATGGATCTGTTAGGAGGGCAATATGCTGATGCTATGATGACGGAAAAAAAGAAGGTTTTGATTACGATAGCGGTGGATTGTAGGAAATCTTGTGTCGGTAATGGGAGCTGGTGATGAGAAAGGGAGTGGTGTACAATAACAGCAGTACCAGCATGTGCTTTACCGTCAGGATGGTCAGTACGGTATGTTATGTATTGAGGTATTTTTAAATGCTGTTTTCTGGTCAGTCGTGTTCCCGTAATTAGTGCTACGTCGATGTTCTTGTCCAGTAATAAAGCTGTTAGTTCGTCAACGTGATTTCTTACTCCATTCGCATTCCAAAGGAGAGTGGATA